AGGCGGTTGTCAAGGACTCATAATTGGGTGGTATGTTAAATGTTAATATTGCTAATGACATTTTTTGATTTGATTTTTGAGGATATGACGTGCCACCATGAGTTAACATGAGTTACTTCAAAAATGTAATTCAAGCTATACTGTCAGAGAGAAATTATTGGTCAACTAAGATTTCTGTTATATATGTGTGTGTGTGTGAGTGTGAGTGTGAGTGTGAGTGTGAGTGTGTGTGTGTGTATTTGTATATAATAATGCTTTCTCTAAGCTTTAAAATACCTTTATATTGAACCTGTGATAGGAATCGAGACTCTTTGTTTGATTCATCATCCGTCCATCTTCTTTACCATCATGTTACATTTCAGATAAGATTTAAAATTTCAGAATGTTCTTATGCCGGAAAGAAACTGAAGACAAGAAAAGGTTTTAGTTCTCAAGAAGCGGATCATCGAATTTTGTGCTTGATGAAATATAAGATCTGCGGCATTTGTCCATCACTTAGACTAAAAAGCCTAATTCTGATAGAATCTATATTAAGATGAATTTAATTCCGATAGAAATAAAATTCTGACAAGTAAAATTTTGCCCAGATACTTACTAGAATTGCAAGTTTCACTTATAATTGTTTAGCTTAATGCTCATTCATTAATTTAATTGGGAAGCCAATCTCTGCAATCATTAACAATTATATTTTAATTCATGGATGTTGGTGGAATTTGGTTGACTGAATTTTGTTTGCCATTTAGGTTGCTTTGAAAACTCTAATTGTCATTCATCGTGCTTTGAGGGAGGTGGACCTACGTTTCATGAAGAACTCATTAATTATGGCAGAAGTAGAAGCCATATGCTTAACATGTCTCATTTCAAGGATGATTCCAGCCCAAATGGTACCTTATCTTCCCTTTTGAAATCCTTGCTATTAATTTTAATTAAACCGAAGTTCCTTGTTTATGAAATCCTTTACTATCTGCTTCACAGCTTGGGATTATTCTGGATGGGTTCGCACTTATGCCTTATTCTTGGAGGAGAGGCTGGAATGTTTCCGTGTCTTGAAGTATGATATTGAGATGGACCGCCCAGTAAGAAGCTTATTTTGATGCATAATCTTTATTCTTGGATTCTACATCTTTTCAATTTTATCTCTTTCAATTTTCATTATGTTCTATTGGCTTTCCTGTAACATCATAGGTAGTATTTGGTATGGCACTTGTATTGAGTTCCAAATTTTACATGCTTCATTCAAGGAACCACACATGGTTTTTTAACCTATCATATAGAAAATTACATTAGGTTTCAAAACTTCTCTTCTGCATCCTTTTGTAATGCCCTTCAAGCTTTTTTTTTTTTGATAGGAATAGGAGATCTCATTAAAAACCTCCCTCTTAGTGAACCTTACTCGTAAGGTAAGGCCCAACTAGCGGAAGGAGGAAAAGAGTACCTCAATTTATTAATGAAAGCCAAGTTACATAAGACTTAAAAACACTTTTACATACAACATAAGACCTCACACACTCCTCTAGCTTCTAAGCTCAGAAACAGACACCAACTGAAACAGACAAAATAATCACCCGATCCCCTCTTTTGCTAGCTTGTCAGCCTCGCAATTACAAGACCTTGGAATCCACCTGACAATAAAATTTCTAAAAGAAACAATAGATACAATTTCCTTAACAAAATTTGAAAGGGAAAGAGGAACCAAAGCTTGATCTTTGATCCAATCCACGACAAGCTTGCAATCACATTCAATAATGAGTCTGCCCTTGAACAACCATTCTGAAGAAACAAAGATATCAATGCCTCTTTTTACAGCTTTCAATTCTGCTAAATAGGGATGAGAAGGACCAACATTTTCTGAAAAAGAGATAATTGTAACCCGATTCCAATCCCTGAGAAGACTCCCTATTCCAGCAACTCTCCCAACTCTACTAAAAGCCCCATCCACATTCAATTTAAAAAAATCTACTGGAGGAGGAATCCACCCGCACCCAGATCTGAGTAGTTCCTTAGAAGCAGAGATACTATCTGCCAAGGAAGGATCACCAATTAAAGAATCCACCTTAATATAGGAAAGAGGATATTTTGCTAGAAACCATCTTGCTAGCCTTAAGCGAACAGTGAAAAACAGTGAAAGCTTGTCTAGTTTACAATGCCCTTCAAGCTTTTAGTGCCTAGATGCATTAATGCACATCTGTAACTGTGGGTTTTAAGTTTAACGAACTGAAACAAAGCTGTGAACACCTTAATTTTGTCAATATCATGTTAGAATTGTAACCATATCTCTTGCAGTCTCTTGAATTTTATTGAAACTGAACTGTCGGGAGATTTCATAGATTAATCTTCTTGCAGAGAACAAAAGATTTAGACACTGCTGAGTTGCTTGAGCAGCTTCCAGCTCTGCAACAGCTTCTTTTTCGTGTTCTTGGTTGTCAGGTGAGAATTTAATGCCTCTTGCTGTGCTAACATCTATCTGGCTTGGAACTGGTTGTGTTAGTTGCATATCTTGCTGTACCTCCTAATTCTTGTTCACTTTATTTAGCGAGAGTATTAACGGAATTTCTGTGCAGCCACAAGGTGCGGCTGTTCATAATGTTGTTATCCGGTTGGCACTTTCAATGGTATGTTTCTTTTAAACATACTACCAGTCTACGCTCCCCATATTCGTAGGGTGAATTTGGAGATGACATTCTCTTATCTTTCTCATCATTTCAAACAGGTTGCTTCGGAAAGTGTCAAAATTTATCAAGCCATTAGTGATGGTACAGTAAATCTTGTAGACAAGGTAAGCTGTAGTATTAATCTAAATAAGCTGCTTCTCTATTTAGTACATCATGTATATATGATGCCCTGAACAATTACAGTTCTTTGAGATGCAACGCCCTGATGCTCTGAAGGCTTTGGACATTTACAGGAGGGCTGGCCAACAGGTAAATTGCTGTGCCAGTATCGCTAATGTCATCTCCTTTTTGTGAATGAGGAGGATTTCAAAATCTGGGGGAGTTTAATACTTTCTGTTTGCAGGCAGAGAGGCTTTCAGAATTTTATGAAGTATGTAAAAGTCTGGATATAGGGCGTGGGGAAAGGTTTATTAAGATAGAGCAGGTTAGGATCCTCCACGTTTGGTGCCTTCTGAAACTGATTTGCTTTTCCTTGAATTCTCTTGGAGGCATCATTATAAAACTAATTTATTTTCTGTGTTTTTTGCTGAAGCCCCCTGCATCATTTCTACAAGCCATGGAAGAGTATGTAAGAGAAGCTCCACAGGCTTCAGCAGTTCGTAAAGATCAGGTCTTGAAATCCTCTGAAATTGATTCTCATTTTAACAGGAAGACAATTTAATTTAATTTATATATTTCTATGCCTTTGTGATACGATAAATGTTTTATGTTTGTAAATGTCATCCTGTTTAGCTTATGAATTTGTAAAAATAGTTTTATTCGATTGGTTTATGCAAAATAGAAACAATCCGATTTTAAGTTTGTGTTAGAAAAGTAAGCCAAGAGAGTGGTGTTTGCAATTATTATTGTCTTAAATTTTATTTTTGAACTAGCAGGTTGACAAACCCAAGGAAGTATTGGCCATTGAGTACAAGAAAACCCCAGAGGTGGAGGAGAAACGTTCACCATCACCTCCTCCTCCTGAACCCAAAAAAGTGGAGAAAGTGGAAGAGCCTATTGTTGAACAACCTGATTTGTTGGTAATTTTCATTGTCTTTTTCTTTTCTTGTTACCAACTGTATCGTTGTATGAGAACTTAGCAGTTCATCTGAATTATTTTTTATTTTTATCTAAGAATTTTGTAGTCTTTCTTTTTTGCTCACCTATTATATTGTTATATGAGAACTTGGCAGCTACATCGGATCTTTTTGTCCTGAGATTCATTTGCGAGCTCTTCTTTTTGTCTTTCTTGGCAGAATTTAAATGATCCTGTCCCAGTTGCTTCAGAGCTGGATGAGAAGAATGCCTTGGCACTGGCTATTGTTCCTGTTGGTGAGTTTGAATTCATTCCTTTTCAGTAATTCAATCATAGACAACATGAACCTTCAACAACTTGCTTTCCTAATGGTTTTAACCACATAAAACTAATATGTACCTGAGCAATTTCTCTTGTAATGTTGTAAGTTGAATCAACTGAGCTTCAATGGTATGTTTATTATTGGGAAATTGTGTTCGTGTTTAACTGGTGGCATTCCGCAGAGCAAACAACTACTGCTCCTCCTCCTCCTCCTCAAGCAAATGGTACTACAGGCTGGGAATTAGCACTTGTCACTGCTCCAAGCTCAAATGAAAGTGCCGCTGCTGCTAGCAAACTGGTACTTTTATTATTGTCATCTCCTCTATGAACCTTTCAGACTCTGCTATATTACAAGGCTGTTGCCCATTACACACTTCAATTTTTTTTCCTATGATACTAGGCATTTTTGCATCGTTCATTGGTAACATAATATAATATATACATGCATGTTGCACTGACACTTTTAATTGTATTAAATTGTAGGCCGGAGGACTCGATAAGCTTACATTGGACAGCCTTTACGATGATGCAATCAGAAGAAGCAACCAAAACGTTAGCTATAATCCATGGGAACAACCTACTATGTCTGGTGCTATGATGCAACAACCAGCGCATGATCCCTTTTATGCCTCCAACATGGTTCCCGCTCCATATTCAGTCCAGATGGCAGCAATGGCCAATCAGCAGCAGCAACAGATGATGATGATGGCAGCACCACAACAGCAGCCTTCAAATCCATTCAACAATTACAGAGCCTTCGTCCACCCTTACACCTCAGGTATGCCAGTTCAACCGCACAATCCATATGCAGGCCTGATGTAGATGCTTCGCACAAAGTGCATGTTTTATATTTCTAAGCACAGGAAAGAAGAAAAAAAGGTGAAACTCATCATCGGTTGTGAAATTTGTGCTTGGGAAGAATGCTTGAACAATAGGAAATTGTGTACCATATGTTGTGAATGTGCCCTAGTTAGCTAGATTAAGATTCTTTATTAAATATTTAGTAAGAGAGAGAGAGAGAGAAAGAGCATTTTGTTATTGATTGTTTTCATTGACCAAGGTTGGTAATAATGCTAATACACTTGGTAACTTTCTTTAAAACCTGTTAAGTGTTGTTGATACTGAATCAGGACCTTTCATCCTTATTGTTTCTTTCAGGATTGTCCGCTTGTTGATATAAATTGTTTATAATATTTGGCTTTTCTCATGCTCTATGGCTAGTGATATTTTTTTTCTTGAATAGTCTAGGTTGATTACAAGGTAGTGTCCGTTCAGAACCCCTTAACCTATTGACAATGCTCACATATCTTATAAATGTAGCTGTTTGAACCCAAAATCTGGGTCTTTTAGGGAGAATAACATTCTCTTTTATCACTGGGGTCATTCTATAGGTCGGTTTGTAATTATTCATGAATGCTTACTATGTTTATATTTATGTGATTGCCGGATACTGTGTATGTTTTTCTTATTGGCTCCATGGCCAAGGAGAAGGAAATATGAAGGGGACCAGAAGGCAAGAGCATGTAAGAAAACGTGGAAGAAAGAGATGGAAGTTTGATTGAAAGGAACATGGACTTATTTTAATAATCATCACACTTTTTCGGGTAATATAATATATTACAGTCCAAGTTACCGTAACTTTTGAGGCAAGAAAACCATGTGAACGTGTATAATAATCCATGTATACATATGTATTTGTATAATGGGGGTTTATTATATAATTAATTTTAGGCTGCTAATCATTGATGAAATGAAATGGACATCCTATCAACACAGACATCATTCATTTTCATGGACGTAATTATGTATGAATGTTTTATTTTCAATTATTTATTTGAAACTGATTGCAATCCTTTCCTTCTTGGATACTGGATTCTGTATCATTTGTGTTCACATCCAAGCAGTGATGGATCCATTTTACCGGTGAGTTGGGATCCATCCTCTTCCACTTTTTTTCTTTTAGAAAATAAATTATACTTTATCCTCTCAAATTTATATTTATTAGTTTATTCATGTGTTCTTATATAATTTAATAATGAAAAATAAAATATTCCTAATAAAAAAAATATTTTTGCATCTGAATACTTAAAGATGAAGCCCTTGAATGGTATCGTTGTCATCATGGTAAATCTTTTCCAATTCTTTTTTTACCTCAAAAAATAAATAATTAAATACCGGGAAAGAGACGAGTGTGGATGAAGAGCCAAGACGGCAAGAAACAGTGACGTGCGGAGCAAATGTTTAAGTTTTGAAAGTGATAAAATAACTTTTAGTCTATTAATTTAATAATTTTTTCAATTTGATCCGTAAATTATTGGTTAATTGTGATATCTGAACATAGATTTTTAATATTTTGATGACATGACACTCTTAAGTGATAAGCTATACTTTGGTGACATGTAACGTTATCAGCGAGACTAAAAATAAGAAGAAAAAATTGTCAAATTTAGGATTAACGGGGAAGATGAAAAATTCAGAGATTAAGATAAAAGAATTGAAAATTGAAGGATTAAAATTTTCTTTATCCCAATATGAAATCCAAAAGAAGAAAGCAATGAAGAGAAGTTAAATAAAAAGGGTCTGCAAAAAAGAAAGCAAAAAAAAAAAAACTAGCAAACAAAACAAATGGATAGATAACCAAAGCCCCTCCGCCACCTAACGCTAAAACACCAACACCGCCACCGCCATCTCCACCGCTTCTCTCTCCTTCAATTTCAACTCTTTTTCTTTTTTCATTGAACTAAATTTTCGCTTTCGAAAAAAAATTGTAGAGAAGGGAATACAAGCTGAACTTTATGCTCTTTTCTCTCTCTAATTTCAGCAACTGCGAAAAAAGAAAATAAATTGATTATAATATTTTAATATTCAGTAATGTATTGGCTGTTGAAGTCTCTTCAATCAGACGTTCCATGTTCGCCCACGTCTTCACCAGATCACAGTCGAACCAACCATAACGGCGGCGTTAAGGACGATCTTTCGGTTATCGGTGAGACTATCGGTCGCCAACTACGTGGAGTAGCCGCCTTTTTAGCGCCGCCTCCTTCTCCGCCTTCCGTCACCGCCGCCGAGCAAAGAGCAGAACATGAAGAAGAAGAACTGTGGTCTTCAGATAAGCTAGTTGGAATCCGCAACGATTTGGCGGAGATCGGTGGGAGCTTCAAGGGCGGGCTTTCATTGTTGTCAAGTAACAAAGCCGTGTCAGAGATCTCCAAATTCGCTTCGAGTTTCTTGCAGTTCCCGGATCAAGATGATCGTGGTGGTCATGATAAAGATGAAGATGATGATCACGACGACGACGACGACGATGGAGTGCCTGGGATTACCGATGAGGTGATTGAATTTGTTAAAAAAATTTCCAACCGGCCGGAGCTCTGGACTGATTTTCCTCTCTTACTAAATAACGGTATTTATTTATTTATATTTTTACAAATTACTTACTACAAAACTAAATTTTCTTTACGTTGCATTTTTTACTTGATTGTTATTAACACCGAATTAGATTTTAAGTTGAGGGATTTAAATTAGTTCTCCGAAATATTAGAAACCATATCTATAATTTGTCACAGTAGCAAGGAAGGTCAAATGCAGAATATATTGCTTTGTTTGAGGCAGCTTCCTCCTTTTTTGCAATACCTGACATTTCCTACAGGTTTGGATCACTAGATTAGAGATCTCCGTTATTAAAGGGGATTTCTTTATGCACTGTTTGTGGTGTTGCTTAAAAAATGTGATACACTTAGGATTGGTAACTTACGCCATTAGTAAATGTGCATGGGGAAGTGATAACTTGTGCATTGTATGCATTATTACCAAGGGACTGCATCAGTATTGTTTGGTTGGATTGGCTTTGCTTATGGCCGATATTCTAATGAGAATTTCTGATTTATGCACTGTAATGAGATTAAGACTCACTACTTTCGACCATAGGCGAAGTATCATAGGAGCATATTATATAAGGATATACTTGAGAATTACTTAACCCTTTAGCTTCTTCTTTTCTCTTTTCCAGTTCTCCATGGAAACTGAGGCAATTTTTTTGCTAACAAGGTGTTGGTTACCGCAGATTTCAAAATGTCTGAGAGTCAGAGAGAACATGCTGAAAATATTGAACACCTAGTCCTGAGTTTTGAAGCTCTTAAGTTTAGCCTTCAGTATAACATGGGAGAGGAAAGGTTTTGGATGATATATTTCATACTGTTGCTTCCAAGACTGAATGAGCATGATTTTGAGCTTCTTTCAACCCCGGAGGCAAGAGATTTAATATCTTTATTGTTGTTTTATTGAATTGAACTTGCATGCCTTCCATAATAGTGAATAGGTATACTATGTACTGATCAAGAATGATATCACCCATTGTTTTCCTTAATTCATCCGTAAATGAATCTGTTTGTCATGTATGTTCTTTTCCGCGTGCTTTTGGTTTAGGAATGAATTAGGCCGAAAAAGAAGATATGTAGGAGTAATATTATAAACACATGTTATATTGCTTTGTATTATTAATTAGTCAACATTCTCTAACGTGTATTTATTTGAGAATCGTGTTCTTGTTGCCAGAGGAGCTAATATCGTGATGTTGTTCGCTCAATTACATATTCATGTTTATATAGTCAAATGCATCAAGACTGGATTCCTTGTGCACAAATTATTTTCTATCTGTAATATGCATGCACTTGCTGATTCTTTTCTATGGGGTGAGCTTTGAAGTTAGAATTTCAAATGTAGTATGGATTTCCCTTCTTTTATGGTATAGTAATGTTCTGAATCTCCAAAATGCTTGTTCTACTCTCTTTAATCTGTAAAGCATTAAGTTGGTCTTTCATCAAGTTGGTAGAGACTAATTTGTGGTAAATCCACCAAATATGCGTATTCTCTTTAATCTCCAATGCATATGCGCGTGTTTTTCTTATTCACTCTATTTTAACTAATTTCTATGTGTGTTATACGTTCACTTTGTGGCTGGAAAATCATGCTTTGTTCTATGCAACCAAAACCATTTTCTTGAAGGTTATTTATGTTGCAGGTTGTTGAAACCAGAGATGCACTTCTGCAGAAGCTGCAAAACAATAAGAATGCACAAACTGAGAACAGTAGTCTTGATGCATCTGAGGAGAGTGGCAAGTTTGGTGGGACAGTACAGGAGAATGTCTCATCTGAGGAGAGGGTCTGTGAAATTGTAAATGCAGCAGAAGGATTAGAGATTACCTCAGGTGAAGACAGCGCTGCGCAATGGGTGGAAGAAGCAGATATTTCTAGTGGAAGTTCCGTGAGAGTCGAGCATAACCTGGAACATGAAGAGGATGTTTCGTTCAGTGATCTGGAAGACGATGATAATTATCATTCTAATAGAGTATCCTTGCCTAAGTCGAAACAGCATGACAAAGCTCCATCCAGCGGATCCAATGACTGGGTTCAGCTGAAGAAGAGACCAGAAACTCGTGGTGATTTGCAGAAAGCAGGCCTCTCGAATTTCGATATAAATACTCTGAAGGCGAGGAGTCAAATGACTGGCTGACTGACGATGATTTCGTTGATGTGGTAAGGGCTAATTGATTATTGATTTATTGTAAAGTTTCACAAATCCTTCTCCACCTCCAGAAATTATGTACTTGCGGAAACAAACTCACATACTTGTGTTCTAATAAATACAGTCAACTCTAAACCTGATACTGGTAAAATTTGTTCATGATATTGGTACATTGATTTGTAAATGGTAGCTGCCAACTTATCGGCGTTGGTTCTTTCATTTTTTTCTCCCATTTTCCTTTTCCCCCACTGTGTTAGTCGATTATGTTAAAAATACGAATATACGTGGGTGTATATCTGTTGTAGGCTTCCAATTCTGTTGAAAAGAAGTCTACGAATTATAGTCCATTATGATCTAAATTCTATCGTATTTTTAATTAAGCTTGAATATGTTTTAATTATGAGTCCATCTAAACGATTAAAAGAAATATTATTTTCCTAAAAGAGGTGTGGTATAGTTTCGTTCAAATAGCTGCCAGATTGTACGTGCATTTATTGTCAATTGTAGTTATGGTTATACTTGCGTCTTGTTTACAACAATTGGGTTGTTTTGTTCAAACTGACACGTAAGTAGGTTAAGACAAGTAATCTAACTTCCAGGTCTTCCTACATGTATTATCATCATAAATACATATACAATACAGGTGAAATTGGATGGTGACCTACATCAATAATAATATTATTCGAATTAAAATTTAACTATTTACAATACATTTCTACTTTCAATTAGAAGTTGGGTTGAATAAGTTTTTGAAATGCTGACAAGGACATGACAGAACTATAAGTTGATATTGGAAATATAAGTAGGCTAGCTCGGTTCATTACACAAAGTCAGATGATGAGATGTTGATTCAAATGTATGGTATTTGTAACTATAACATAAAAGAGCTATATTTTATATCTAAAATAATATATAAAGTATAAATAATTATCAAGCTAAACCGAAATATATATTTTATTATTAAATTCTAAAAGTTAAAAACAATCATAAAACTTATCATACGATTATAAAATAATCGTTACATATTATAAAATAATAATAATTTTGATATATCTAAAAACAATTTTATAACAATTTAATAATTGTTATGTAATAATTTAATAAAATTCAATGCTAATTTTAGAACTATTTTATAAACTGGAAATTTTCAATAATAAAAAAAATATTTCAACATAAGTTAAGGACCATTTATACATTTTACTAAAATAAAATAAAAACTAATTCTATTCATATTATCTTAACCCGAAAATGCAATTATACGCTCAAAATTGTACCAATAGCAAAGCTTTTGCTACTGGTTAAAAACACTTCCCAAACATTTTTTTTTGGTGAAATCACTTTATTTACAACAAGAAAGAACACCACAAGAAGGGGTCAAACAGTCTTTTGGCTTCAGCTTCTATGGACTTTTGCATCCCAATCAAAGACAATGGTTTACAAGACATGAGAATTGGGATTTACAAGAAATAGAGTGAAAATTTCATGAAACAACAAATAATTTCATAGTTTGAAGAAAACACAGATGAGAAAAGTGGAAAAGATGAAACCTTGAAGTGAAAAACATCAACCTAAAGTGACAAGCGGATTGCCAATGAAGTTCATAAAACATGGAAAATGACATTCTTTGATAACTAAAGACGGTGGAAAACTAGGGGTTATCAAAATGAGGTTGCTCTTCCTTCAAGTATCAAACTGAAAAAAAACTAGTCACCTGAAGAGCCTGAAATGAGTATTTAACCCTTCCAAAAAGGTTGTTGGAAAAAGCTTATGCAAGCAAATTAAATAGTCAAGTAGATAAGACAAGCTTATGATTTTGGAGAATTAAGCCCTTCCATAGCTGCTACTCTTCTGGCCTAAAAGGAATATCAGAAAACATTAGCATAAACCAGATTTCAGCATTTTATATAGTGTCAAAGTGTCACCTTAGACTGTTTTCACCATAGATTTAGGAAGTTTTTGCCGCAGCTAAAGAGAGGTTTAAGATGAATGTATTTAGAAAGCGACATTATAATCTAAAATGCAGAAAACCTGACAAATGAAACTGGAAAACTGTCGTCCAGTGAAGCCCCATTAAACCAAATTCTTTATTTGCAAATCCATATTTCTCTTTACCTTAAGATTCTTTAAGTCATTATCCATCCCCTTTTGGAGCAAGCTTTGTACAGTGCTTTAACTATCTCACATATATTGAGCAGTTAGCTGGTTTCATCGACCCTGGCCCTCCCACTGAGGAGGGTGGATGGGTGGCCTCAAAAGATGGATGCAATTGGACCCCATCGAAGAACTTGGAGCTCTTTGAATGTATCTATCAGTTTGTCTTGGTTGTAGTGGTTTCACAGAGGCAGTTACCGGAGACTGATTTGCATAACTTGGTCTTTGGGTATTAAAAGGCAACTGAGAAGCTAAAGGGAAGGCAGTTACTACCATTGCTGATTCGAGAGATGTTTGCTTGGGGAGCTGTACATGCGGTGGATACCATTCAGGCATGTCGTCATCATCAGCGAAAATATTCTTTTGTGGTGCAACTATACTAGTGACAACAGGAGTGAATACTGAGCTGCTTTTGGCAGTATGTTTTGCTTCTAAAACTGGTAACACTGATACCTGATCAAGTTTACAAATTTTCTTTCCTCGAGGCAAGTTTGGGCTACTGTTGGACGCAAACCCAGGAGGAAGAAAATCTTCTGCCAGCCTTTTATTCTGAGCAGGTAGGGACTGCATAGTTGGCAAAGCTAAGGGAAATGTCGAAACAACTTTCTTTAATCCTTCAACCACAACATTTTCTTCAAACACTGTTGTATCCAAAACCTTACTTCTTGGAGTTTGAGATATCCCACCAAAATCAAATTCTGGAAGATCATCATCATCAATGGCAGAAATGTTCTCTTTTATAATAACTTGTGGCAGAGATAATACAGGATTTTCAGGTCTCAAAAATGATTTAATTTCCTCCGGTTTTGAGATATCCACACGAGACATTTCCTTTGCAGAAGACTGCCCCTTGGGTCTGAAGAGTGAGACAGAATCAGAAAAGGATGGTGTTTGAAGTCCTAGTGAAATACCTGAGAATTTGCTCAATGCTGAAGTCTTAAGCAAGAGATCAGCACTGGCAGGAGAGGTATGCAGTGCAAGCTGGCTGTTACTACCTGCATTGTCACATTCATTTCTATTGATGACAGCATTCTCAATGCTTGTGCATGTCACTGATTCTTGAGCAGGCTGAGCACACGGCAAGTTATTTTCAGAAACCTTTTGCTCAGAGTAGGAACTCAGCGGCTGCTCTGTCAAAGAAGAACACATTTTCTCAAGCTTCTTCGTGATAGAATCTGAAGGTCCATGATTTCTTCTCCAAACAACACAACCAATTAATGAGTTTTTCTTGTCTTCAATAGCTGCCATGCCTTTGAAAAATCCATGTTTTGCAAGTATGGTGATTATGGCATCACTGCGAGGACATATGTAAAGATCAATACCTGGTGAGAGTTGAGCAAAACCCACTCTTTCCCCTTTCTTGTACCCTTTAGCAATCTGTTAAGATTACAAGAAAGTATGAATTAATAAATAAAGCAGAAATTCTCGAGACGCACCCCAAACACTAAATCACCAAAATCATGTTCCTTTTCTACCAACATACCTGATTCAAGCCTACCAGTCCTGATTTAGAAGACCCTTCTTTCCAGCAAAGTGATACTACCTGAACATAATTGCATTGATCTATCAGAAATTTGAAGTGAAAAGAGTGTATTATCAATGTGCAAATCCTAAGCTAAAAGCCTAATAAGTAGCATGTAAATCATTACTGTTTTCATTTTTATGGAAGAGTTGATAATGACGTGAATTTGTTTGCAAAATGACTAAGGTCTCTTTATTCATTCTATAGCCACATAAACTTGAGATTACAGACATGCAAAGAAGAAACCTCTAGAGGTACCCCAGGTCTTTAACATCTCTATTTCCTAAGGAACTTGGTATTCAACTGTTTATTAAATTCAAACCTTGGTGATGTAAGGCAAGGTAAATCACACACTAAATAATCTGAATTGATGCCAGTAACTCATGAAAATTATATCTTACCATCAGCCCTCTATTGTGTGAGCGAGCAAGGTCTTGAATATATTTCTCAAAAGCCTCTAGTCTAACTTTTCCTTTGACTTCTACAAGATCAGGCCACTTGGTATCAGGCATCTTCTCACCACTACACAACAAAATCATCGTAGAAAAGGTTATCCATTGAAGATTTACCACTGAAATATTTATGTCATGAACCTAATCAGATAATATCATACCAAAACGACGAACAATGCATTAAGTGAAACAACCGTCTTATTATGCCAAGAGACTGTAAACCAGGTGTCCAACCAGGACACCAAATTTAATTTGGAAGCGAATATTTTACCTGAAATAGTCCCAAAAAAAGGATTGCATATTTGAATTTACTAACTAAAGGCATGGAGGAGAAACTGTCAAAACATGTCAGTGCAACAAATATAAATTGTTAACTTTGAAAGACTCAATTGCAAATAAATTGCATAAAGTTATTTACAACATGCAAAAGCGGCATTATATATGAAAGAATCAAGGAATAAAAGGATTCTAGTATTAAGAAACTCAAAATTGCCATGTATTGCAGAAGCCGGAAAGCATAGGGGTATGTACAGTCAATCAGAATGGTAGGCTCCCATGCAGACTAACAGCAAACTCTCTCTTTACATTTCAAGGTTTAGATCACAATTCTGGTGTCACTTAAGTTAGAGCATGTCATTTAATTTGCTCCTTCAAGTTTTCAATCCGCGGTAAATAGAGTTGATGATTGTCATTTGCCTCTTTATACAAACGGCTATATTGGTGGTTGGACGAATATCCATTTCAGTTTCATGCCATATCTAGGTGAGTAGTAACACTGTGAACTCTACCGAAGTTTTTGTATGGTCTCATTTCCATGTCAATCTCTGAGTAGATGATTTAAAAAAAAAAAACTGTTGATCCTACATCAAACCAACTTCAGCATTGCATGCATCAACATATCTCTTATCAATTTTGATTAATTTTATTTTCCCTTTTCTACTTTAGTATTTGATAAGAAATTCTTGGAACAAAGTACTCTTTGACTACAGTACTCTATGCCATTTTTTATGAAGAGAAATATGCAGAAAATAAACCAATTAACCAGCCAATTTGCATAATTTATTTGTTACCAAGTTGCCCTTGTTCTTGAGCTGACTTGTTCTACTAGTAATATGATTTGATTTCTTGCAGCCTACAAAATATTGTATAGTTTCTTATTTGCATTTATAATGTTATGTTAACTTTGCAGATACAAAAATATAAAGTTTCTATTGCCAAAATTATTCATAAAGCAGAGCTTTTAACAGCAATTTAACTACTTAAAAAGCAATTACATGCAAAGAAAAATCCATATAATTTCATCTTTTTGGAATGAAAAAATATGAACAAATGAACTGAATATCTCCGATACTAAAAACAGAATTTGTTCTCAGAACTGAGAGAGAAAAAAAGAAGCAGCTGAATAACCTTTTGAAGAAGGCAACGACCGACACAGTTACAGAAGAATTAAGCTTAAGGGAACCATCCCAGAGTTTCTCGGCAACTGTAGGACGAGCCGACTTCAAATTCCCAGAACCAGATCCTTCCCTTTCCCCCATTTTCACTAATACGAAAATAACATCTGCATACCAAAATTCAAGTAGCCTGATTGGTTTCAAAGCGGGAACTTATGAGTGCAACTGCACTTGATTTTCCATACTTCTCGAAGCCGGTTGACCCGATTCACCTCCTAATTCATGAATTGGCGTGATTCCCAGAATTCCCAAAATCCTCCGACCAGAATTCAGCAGTCTCTCTGTTCAAAGACAAGAAATTCAAACAATAAAACGAAACGGAATTTATCCAAACAAAGAACAGGGTAAAAGATAATGATTAATTTTTTCCATATGAAGAAGAAGAAGAAGAATACAGAAGAACAAGTGAAGTTGAACGGTGCGCTTAGAGTAGTTTGAAGTAGATTTGGTCAATGATATTTTATCCCTACGGATTAGGGTTTGAAAAAGAAATGTTAAGGTTACCGCCATGCTCACCAAATTTCTGAGCGCGGTAACGTAACGCATACACGTAAGTATATGTTAAATTTTGAGTAAACTACTCAAATGGTCACTAATATTTAAGTAAGTTTTCATTTTAACCACTTATGTTTCAAAAGTCACAAATCGATCACTAACATTATCGTTTGTTACAAATTGGTCACTCGGCGTTAACAGCCATGACGAAAAACACATGTGGACTATTATTTTCTTACCTAGAATGCCATGGTGGAAGAGACATGTCTCCAACTGTCATCTTTTCCCTTTTAAATAAAAACTCAATCACTAATCCTAGTTTACCTATTTTCCTTCATATTCTCTTTTGTTTAAAATTTCTCAAAAATTTTCCTAAGAAAAACCTAGCTAAGGTGAAGACATAATACTCCATTGAAGTTTCTTTTTGCAATTGTGAACAACCAGCTAAGGTGGTCATGGCTTGGACGAATGAAAATTGTGGGAGGCGGTTTTTTGGTTGCCGAAATTATGAAAAAAAGATAAGTACAAAATGTCATTTTTTTTGTTTGGATGAATCCTCCCATGGTGCCTCGGGCAAGATTTGTTTGCTTAGGGTTGATGAAGAAATTAAGAAAAGTGGAAAGGGAAATGAGAAATGAAAGGATTTTTTGGTTTTATGTCTCTATTTGTAAACGGAATGATGCTTTGGATGGATGGATTGAAGGTTTTTGTTGAAGAATGCTTTTATTTGGATGATAGATTAAAGCCTTCATAAACCACAAACCTTCACCATATTTTATTAAAAATAGCATTCATGAGTATACATAAGTGGATATAAAATGATCATATAAAATATATATACATTTCAACAGAAACTCTAAATATGGTATCATATCAACAGAAATCATATAAAGTTGAAAATACAAAAAAAAAGTCAAGGTTCATATCAACAGAAAACATAGCAAATGACATCATATCATATCAACATAAAAATGATCATATAACAGAAAGGATAACAAGTAAATTTGTAAAGTTGTAATCATATAACAAATCAACAACATTATTTCAGAAAATGATTTTATATCAATATTTCATCAACCTATTATGTCAAGAAAACCATAGAAAACCATTTCAGAAAATCATATCAATATTAATGTGAAAACCTAACAGTTAAATGTTGAATTACCACATAGATTTTTGTCAAAAGAAAATCAGTAAAGTTGTACACATATAACAAAAATAATCAACAACATTATTTCAAAGAAACCCATTCAATTTTCTGTTAAAAACCTAGGTTTTTACCTTTTCTCTAAATCTCAGAAGGAAGCTTACCGTAAAGCATAACGTTGTCTCCTTTTTGCCGTAGCCTCTATCTAAGTACCATCTTCACTTCGAACCCTAAAATTTTTCTCAAAACCAATTACTTCGAACCCTCTTAAATCCAAGTAGTGCTCGTTTTTTCTGTTAATCACTAACTTTCTATGTTTTTCTTTCTTTGTTTCCTCACATTTCCCCTTATATTCCTCACGATTCCTCTTTTTCTCTCAAACCCTCTCTTAAACTATCTAAAACTGCTTCTATAACACCCCCAAGCTGTATCCCAACCCGGATACGAGTCAAAGATATTACATTGACTTTTAAAACACAACTCATTACAAATAATAGTAAAATACTCGAACTTATATTACGAAAAATACAATAATATACATATGGTAATATAAGTTTACCAAAATATTCAGAGCATACACAACTTAACTCTTTAATTACATGCCAACATCCATTTTCATAACAAAATGACCTACTGATTAAGTTGCTTCTGATCTGATAGTTGCAGGAGTAATGTTGTCCAGCTGCTTAACCTCGATCGTCTACTTTATCGGATCCTACGTGTGAAACACTCACACGCTAAGTCATCGACTTAGTGAGGCAATAATATAATAATAATATCAATAAACATAAAGTAATTGCCAAAATGAGATGGGTTGCAATAATAAGATGTATGTAAACAATGCAATAACCAAAATCATGTTTCTTACACATATACTTATCAAATTCACATTCATAAGTTCGCCTTAGTAAGTTCATTAGCCCATGGTACCATACAGAGAACCTAAGGTATGTGAGTATCGTGAGGTTGTGCACTATGCTGTCACCACAGCTCATATAATTGCACCTAAGTGCCACGTAGAATTGCACCGGAGTGCCGCGTAGAATTGCACCGTAGTGCCATATAATAATGTCCATAAGGACCACATATCATTCCTTAAGAATCATATACATATGCCAAGGATCAAGTATGTGTCTCACCAGACTTCACACATGTTCCAAAGAATATATATATGTCCCGAAGGACCACATATCATTCCTTAAGAATCATATACATATACCAAGGATCAAGTATGTGTCTCACCAGACCTCACACATGTTCCAAAGAATACATATATATCCCGAAGGACCACATATCATTCCTTAAGAATCATATACATATGCCAAGGATCAAGTATGTGTCTCACCAGACTTCACACATGTTCCAAAGAATACATATATGTCCCGAAGGACCACATAGACCCTCTACCCTTGGCATGTCAACTATACATATAGTTCTCATTTACATAACATGGGCTTTCACAATTTATCTAATTCATATCACGTAGACATATTATTTCCATACCTTTATCATATAACTCATATAACTTTTCTTTCATATTCATGTCTCATAATGCATATGGTATGGATTCATGTCATATATCATCATATGAACTACGATCATGTATCAAAATATTGAATCTAGACTTATCGCAAGTCTAGAACTGAATAAAATACATATTCATGCTATGCATATGCACTCACCTAGATTTCTTTGTTTTTCCCTCGATTGATCCTACTTGTCGATGGTTCCGGAACTCGATTAGGCTCAATATCTACATAAGCAAAATTTTCAAGATGATTATCAGATGCCTAAGTCTTGAAATTAACCTCTAATAGCCTACCAATTTAAGGGATTAATAGTTTAGTCTCTCTTCTTTCTTCTTTTTTTTCATTATGGGGGAATCGATTCCCCCCTGGGGGTATCGATTCCCCTCTAGCATTCTGGAAATTCATATTCGTTTGAGGGGGGATCGATTCCCCTTGAATGGGTACCGATTCCCCTAGCCCATAAATCCCATTTTGAGCTCAAAAATCATCTCATTTCAGCTCAAACCTTCATATTTTACTCCTTTTAATACTCTTAACTTTCATACACTTACTTAAACTAATTATTATCCATTTAATACCTCTAAAACTTAAAAAAACTAATCCATATAGAATTTAAGAATCTTACTCAAATTCCAACTTGTTCTAATTTTAATTCTATCACCTCATACTTCTTAATTAGCTTGATGACAAGTCAAATCCAGCTTCTAATTCTTATTATAACCTTTAATCTAAGATTTCAATCAATGGCTTCCAACCTTTAATCTCCCTTAACTTACAATTCTTTGAGTTTCTAGGTCCTTGTTTCTCTCCATCATATTTCCTAAATCTTCATTAACCAAACCCATGCTTAACTCATAAGAATTAATCCAAAAGAAGACAACTCACCTTTGCTTGCAAGCTTCACGGTTGGAGAAGAAGAAGAGAGAAGAGAGAAATATCTGGAACCTTGTTTTCTCTCAAATGCTTTCCACGTGGTTTATAAAATAACCTTAAGGAATATTTAATTATTTCTCTTACTAAAACACTCTTTTGCCCTCTTAATTTTCCTTCTTTGCTTATCCATTCTATATGAAACATTCATATTAAATCTTTCAACTATTCAATTTATCTACTTTGGTCACTAAATTTTAAAATTTCACAATTTGATCACTAACCCGGTATGGAGGACGTTACAAATCTCCCTCCCTTAAGAAAATTCGTCCTCGAATTTTCAATAAGAAAAGAGATGGGGATACTGATTCCTCATATCCTCCTCACGCTCCCATGTTGCTTCCTCTACTTTGTGATTCTTCCATAAAACTTTAACCAATGGAATAGTCTTGTTCCTCAATTGCTTAATCTCATGAGCTAAAATTTGAATCGGTTCTTCCTCATAAGTCATATTCGGTTGTACCTCGATCTCTTATGGGTTTACGATATGGGAGGGATCCGATCGATATCTTCGAAGCATTGAGACATGGAATACATTGTGAATATTTTCCATTTCTGGTGGTAAAGTCAATTGGTATGCTACGGGTCCCACCCTTTTTACAATCTCATATGGTCTAATAAACCGGGGACTTAACTTTCCTTTCCGACCAAACCTCAACACATTCTTCCATGGAGATACCTTTAAAAACACTTTATCCCCAACTTCAAATTCAATCTCCTTTCTTTTAAGATCAGAATAGGACTTTTGTCGATCAGAGGCCACTTTGAGGTTATGCTGAATTTCTCAAACTTTCTGTTCTACATCTTGAATTAAATCCGGACCAAGAACACTTCGATCTTTGAGTTCATACCAATTTAATGGAGTACGACATTTTTTTCCATATAATGCTTCATATGGGGCCATCTTTATACTAGACTGATAACTATTGTTGTAAGCGAACTCTGCCAGCGGTAAATACTTTTCCCATGATCCTTTGAATTCCATTACGCATGCTCTCAACATATCTTCCAATATCTGAATAGTTCTCTCTGATTGCCCATCAGTCTGAGGATGAAAAGCCGTACTAAAGTTTAAACGAGTCCCCAACGCTCCATGCAAAGATTTCCAGAATCTAGAAGTGAATCGAGGGTCTCGATCAGAGACTATGGAAATAGGCACTCCATGCAATCTAATAACTTCTCTAATATACAGCTCTGCATACTTTTCCATAGAGAAATCCATTCTAACTGGAAGGAAATGCGCTGACTTAGTTAATCGATCAACAATTACCCAGATTGATTCTCTTTTGTTCGGAGTCAAGGGTAACCCCGAAACAAAATCCATCATAACATTTTCCCATTTCCATTGAGGAACGTAAAGCGGTTGCAATAATCCTGACGGAACTTGATGCTCTGCTTTGACTTGCTGACATG